GATCAACAATCGACCAAATATTTACTATCAGACAAATGCTAGAAAAGTATTGGAAATATAATAAAGAGGTACACCAGATCTTCATAGATTTCAAACAAGCATATGATTCCATAGATCGGTTAAAACTGTGGAGTGCAATGATGGAGTTAGGCGTACCAAAGAAGCTGACCATGATTGCGCGAATGTGTGTCAACAATTCCTTTGCACAAATTAAAATAGGAGGAAAAACTTCAAAGGCTTTCGGCATAAGCAGCGGGCTCAGACAGGGAGACCCGCTGTCCCCATTACTATTTAACCTAGCATTGGAATACGCAATGCGAAAAATCTATACCAGAGTCAAACCAGACATAACTGCCAGAGGAGCAAAGATTATTCTCGCATTTGCAGATGATGTAGATGCAGTAGCACAGAAAACACTGGAAGTTAAGGATATAGTATCGAACTTTGAAGAAGCAACACTAAGCGTAGGTAGGCCTGAAAATAAACGAAGAAAAAACTAAATACATGGTCGTATCAAAAAAGGAACGACAGCGAATAAGACAAAACATTACCATAAACGATCATAATTTTGAGGTGGTCAAAAAATTCAAATACCTAGGAGCAACAATTACCAGTGAAAACACAGGAGAACGGGAGGTTGAAATACGAATACTGGCGGGGAATAAATCATTCTTTGCCATTCAACATCTAATGAGGTCAAAGCTTCTCTCAAGGCGTGCCAAAATCCAAATGTACAAAACCATAATACGACCAGCAGTGACATATTGAAGTGAAACATGGACATTGAGAAAGAAAGAAATCAATAAGCTATTAGTATGGGAACGCAAAATCCTCCGAATTCTATATGGTCCTTGCAGGGACAGCGTGACAAATGAACGGAGGAGCAGATACAACAATGAAATAGAGACTCTCTTCGGGAAAGGAAACATTGTAAGATACATAAAAGCCAATAGATTAAGATAGACAGGCCACGTGGTACGGAGTGATGACGACAGACTGATTAGCAATGTGTTTTGGGAAAGACCAGATGGTAAAAGATCGACAGGAAGGCCTAGAAAAAGGTGGAAAGACGCAGTCAGGGAAGACCTGGAGAAGATGGAAGTAAGGCCATGGGAAATAATAGCACAGGATAGGAATCAATGGAAGGCAATAGTAAAGGCGGCAAAAACTCACGAAGAGTTGTAAAAGCCAATGATGATGATGATGACGGTGTTTCCGCTCCGAAGGTCAATACTGACAGAACACACTGTTCGAAGACTTTCAGCTTCAAATTAATCGGTATATTGCCGTCTTTAAATATGTTTTAAGAGTTCCATATGTTGCCCATTTATGTGCTTTTCTTTATGATACCTCACCCGCATAAAATATTTGATAGTACTGAATATTGACACCCCGTTTGTTCCTAAACGACACGCCTCCACTCTCTACTCTTCTTCAACAGGGACATATCGCACTCCTCTCGCAGACACCGACAACACAGTCTTTGAATCTAAACCTGACATACTTTTTTCCGAGGTTGAATTTGCTCTGAAAGAACTTTAGTTAAACAAAGCAGCCGGCTATGATTTCATTAGGTACTGCTGATGTCTTGAAGTATCTTCCGGTATGTGAAGTGGAAATATTACATCGATTGTGTAATGAAATCTGCCACAAAGGTGTCTAACCTGATGACTGGAAAATAACCATAATTATAGCTCTATGTGAGAAAGGTACAACAAATTATAACAAAACAACAACAAAATTATAACAATTATAGACTACTAGCTCTAATATCACACGCCAGTAAGATGATCCTTTATATCCTGCAATGTTATCTAGAAAACTTTAAAAGTTGGCAAATTGCCCCTCATCAGATTTATGAAGATGTACTAGAGAACAACTTCCTAATGTAAGAAACATCATGGAAAAAGCCAGAGAAAATCAGATCTCGATATTTATATGTTTCTTTGATTATACAAAAGTCCTTTGATAATGTTAGATGGGACAAACTATGAAACATACTGATAACAATGGGTGAACATAAATGTTCAATTCACCTTATTAGCAAACTGTATCAAGATAGCCTGGCCTATATTCGAACGTATGCGTTTCATCTCTTAAAACATCCATATAAAATTTATTATGTGCAGAGTTTTGGATGGTTGGGAGGTTGGAGTAAACCTAGGCGATATCAAGACATTTTACTGGCGTTAAACAGTATACCAAGGTAGTACATGCATGTAACGGATGACCGCGACTAGTTAAGAAATATCAATAATTAAACTCTCCGAGCTGCTGAAGCTCAATGATAAACCACGACACATCTGCCAAGATGATGAAATACTGAAACAAACACTCACGATTGAGCTCCGACTTACAACGCTAGAAGCTATTATTCACTGGTCCAGCAGCAAACAATATTGTGACAGCAAGTTAAGATTATAGATGGGTTTAATCATTTAATTTGATTAATTAGTTTACCTAAAATAGCTCAGAAAGAATAGTAAAAAACCTGATTACCCAAACCAAACTGATTATATCTTGATTAATAGTAGATCCGAAATGCCATAAAAAAGTCTGTTAAAGATCCGGAAGCAGATATCGGGTCTGATCGCAACCCACTGATAGCTCAAGTAAGAGTCAGACTAACAAAATCAAAGACCACATTGAGATTAACAAAGTAAACTTTGACGTCCTGAAGAACAACAACAAGACTCTTCAACTACACTCTGTTTACACTAAACATATTTTTTACATATTGTAAACAGAATTAATTTTTATTGTAATGACACCAATATTTATAAAGTTAGTAACTAAAAAACATAACAAAGATAACTTAATATTTTATGTGAGAAAATATATGTAAATATATGAGAAAATATCAAAATTACTACTAAGTATTTCCTCCTCTACGTTTCATGCAATTTCTTAAAGATCTTATTAACTTTTTGACTGATTCCTGGGGAATCTCTTCTCACTCTTCATCTAATGCAGTTTTTAGCTCCGCCACTGTCACTGCTACTGGATTACGGACCCGAATCCTGAGTTTGAGCTCATCCCATACCTACAAACTGCTTCATCCTCACATGCAAGACCACAGCCATTTTGGTAGCCCTAATTTTCTTCAAAACGCGTAGTGAGAATAAATGTGTCATCATCACGGACTCAATAAATGCGCTATTAGGTGTAAAACATATATATCCTACAAATCTAATATTTCGGGCTATAAAAAATGAGATAAATAGAATTCAATTAAATCAAAAAGAGGTAGCATTTATCTGGGTACCGTCGCATGTAGCAATCACTGGAAATGAAAAAGTGGACAGCCTAGCAACACATGTTGAATAAACTCACAATACACAATTAAATCAAGAAATTACCCACACTCCGATCTCAAAAATCTAATTAAAGACCACTGTATGAACATATGGCAAGATTACTGGAAAGATTCAGTAACCAAACTATATGAGATTTATCCCCTTGTGAAGACCATCTTGAATAATCCATCGAATAGAAGGGACCAAGTAATAATTAACCGACTAAGAATTGGACACACCGCACTAACCCATAAATTCTTAATTAACAAAGAATCTTCCCCAACCTGCAGAAACTGTTCTGCAGGTTGGGGAAGATTCTATTCCCACTGCTTTACTTGCTTTTAAGCTTTGTTGTCGTACTTATTTCTTCATTATCTCCGTAACTAGTTATATCTATTCCCACATATCTAAACCTCGCTTCCTGCTTTATTATTTTTCCATCAATTTCGATTTTACATTGTAGTGGGTATTTAGATGTTGTCTTTGTTTTTTTCTGCCGATATTATCATATTGTATTTCTAGGCTGTTATATTGAAGATGTGTGTTAATCTTTGGAGCTCGTCTTCTGTCTCGGCGATTAATGCGGCGTCGTCTGCATAACATAATATTTGGTTTTCTTTGTTCCTCATTCTGTAACCATGACCTTTACGTACTGCTTGTATTATTTTGTTCATTATTATATTAAAGAGAAGTGGGCTTAACGAGTCACCCTGTCTGACTCCGCTTTGTATTTGTATACATTGTGTTAGTTTTGCAAATGGAATTGCAAATGATTAAATCAATAAGTTTAATCAGCAACTTTATATGGTGGTAGAAGAAGAAAATTTTCAAGATTTAAGAAATGGGGTAAACGAAACAGATCAGAGGCAAGATGAACCATCAACAATTCTTGAAGATCAAGACAACACCACGAAGAAGAAGAAGAAGCAGAGAACTTTTTGAGGAGACTAGAACCGGCATACAATTGTAAAGATTGAATCATGATAACGGTATTTAGCAATTAAAAACAATTTACAATGTAAATGCCATTAGCAATAAGTGCATTGTGTCGAGGAAGATAAATTAGCTACTCAAAACTTTCAATTTCTGCTCTAAGTAGAGCGTTTCTCGATGGCATGTTAGCTTTGATAATATAAATCAAGTTCACAGACGTTTTTATGTATATGCGGTCAAACTAGGAGGAACCTCGTTTTCAAGGATAATAACGAATGGTTTCATGAATACATAAAACATTTCAATTTACATAATATGCATTGCAAGAACTCGATACCTAAATGTTTGTTTGCTAGGTCCATATTACTCACGAAAACATTTCCTTTCGCTGATAATTTCAAAGTTGAACAAACCGAATACTAATCCGTTGACGTTGTAATTTCATTGTTGTGGAATGGTGTCTACCAAACAATGATTCACAGTTTGATAGGTTGTCACCCGTTGATAGGTTTTACCGCTTTCGAGAAAATATTGACTAACGTTTCCATACTTCTACTCATAAGGTGTGGAGTTTAGTGGTTGACCGCTGAACAAATTTAACGTGTCTATTGATATGATAAAGAAAATAAATTTTGGTAAATTTATTTACTTAACAGTAGATTACATTATGTCAAGGAATCGGTAATTGTAGTGAAATATTTCTCATTGATGTTAAAGTTCAATCGTCATATTGCATGTGTTTAATGCAAGTATTTTTAAATGTGCAGACGTTTATGTTTCAAGAATATTAAACTTTAACGAGTTAGGTAAGCAATTAAATATTTTATAAGTCTTCTTCTTCTCATAGCACCGTCTCCTTTCGAAGGTTGGCTATCCAAATGGCAATTGTGGTTTTGGAAACTGCTGCGTAAAAGATTTCTGCGGATGAGCGGTCGAACCATCTCATCAGGTCTTGAAGCCATGAGTTCTGGCATCTTCCTACTGATCTTTTGCCCTGTAATTTTCCTTCCAGTATAACTTGAAGTAATTTATATTTTTCGCCTCTCAACACATGACCCAAGTATTGCATTTTCCGTTTTTTTGATTATTCGTGGTAATTCTTTTTATTTACACATTCGACGAAGTACAGTTATATTAAAAAAAGGGTACAAGTATTAGAAAGAGAGGTTAACGTCATCCTATTTGTGTAAAACCGGCTGGGATTTTCGGAGGTTATCAAATGTCACATGATATTAAAAATATAAATCATTGGCGTTGAGTTTTAATTAGACGAAACCATTTATTCAACAATTATATAAAGAATAATTTTAATGACTGTTACAAATAGAATTTAGTATTTGGTGATAGAACCGTCTGCTTCTATAACTTTAGTTAGTCTATTTGGCATACTTTGAATTATATTATATATCATATTTGGATCAAGATCTTCCCAGCATTCTAAGATTGTATCCCACAATTGATCTGAATTTTGTAGCATAAAATTTCTCTTATATATTTTTTAACAATTATGCCCCAAATGTTTTCAATTGGATTTATATCTGGACTGTGCGCAGGCCATGGCAATACTTCCAGGTTTTGAGTTTGAAATAAATTCCTTACGGGCATGGGCAGTGTGGACTGAACATTTATCTTGTTGATATATAAAAGTATTATTAGGATACAATTGCTCAATAGAAGGGAGCATTACGTGTTCCAAAACGTTAATGTAATTGTCGGCAGTAAATCTTCCCTCTAATCGCCAACAAACACCAGGTCCATGTATACTAATCCAACCCCATACATTTACAGAAAAACGTCCAGATTTATTATGAGAGTGAATATATCGTTCTTCAAACCTAGTATTGGCTGGACGATAAACACGGATTTGACCGTTATAGGTCGATTGAAAAGTCTTTTTATCAGTAAAAATGACGTTGTTCCAAAATTATGGGTTGCGGTAAATATAGTTTAGTGCAAATATTACTCTTGCTTGCCGATGTTCAACAGTTACTAATGGTTTTTTAGCAGCTGGTCGGTTTTTTTAATCCAGATTCATTGATCCTTCTGCTTACAGTAGGTTGGGCACCAGGAAATCCGTATGAATCCTTGAATCCTTCGACGTCGCAAATGGATTATCTCTTAAGAATTGAACTAAAGCAGCATCTTGTTGAGGAGTGGATACTTTGGAACGGCCTGAACCAAGTTTTCTTTTTAATGATTGTTTTTGGACCCATCCTTGCTTAATTCTGAAGATAGTTTTCAAATTTCTATTATAGAAATTTGCTAGCGCACGAATTGACCATCCTTCTTCCATTTTCGTAATTATTTGAGCCTTTTCAATCTCACTTAAATGACGAGGCATATTAATTTTTTATTGTACGTAACGTTAAACCTTTTATCAAATTAAACGTCTTTGACGTCTATGAGTTGCATTTTTGATCACTTATGACATTTGATAACCTCCAAAAATCCCAGCCGGTTTTACACAAATAGGATGACGTTAACTTCCCTTTCTAATACTTGTACCTTTTTTTTTAATATAACTACCTCAACATTAGTAACTTTTGTACCCATGGAAATCTCAACATTCGTCTAAATATATACATCTCAAAGGCATCTATTTTTTTTCTATTTCAGAGTCCATTGTCCAAGTTTCACAGCCATACAGTAAGACAGAAAAAACGTAATATCTAATCATTCGGATTCTAAGCTGCAGACTAAGGTCTGATCTTGTAAAAACTGTTTTCATGCTCATGAATATTTTCCTTGCTGGTTCGATTCTTGATAGTATTTCTTTTTTTGGATTACACTGACTATTAATATTTTTTCCCAAATATTTTATGGAATTTACCTGTTCTATCAGTTGACCCTTAGCATACACATGTACGTTTATGGGTGTCTGTGAAAAACTAAAGTTTTAGTTTTGGAAACGTTTAGATGTAAACCGAACATTTCGCTGTGGTGAACTACCGCGTTTATTATATTTTGTAGTTATTGTACGTTGCTTCCTATTAAGACAGTAACATCAGCATATCTGATGTTGTTTATGCTGATTCCGTTAATCTTAATTCCGCCTTGGACCTGGTCTAACGCTTCTCTGAATATAGACTCCAAATACAAATTATACAGTAGCGGTGATAAGACGCAACGCTGCCTATCTCCTCGTCGGATTTGTATATCTTCGGATATTGTGTGCTCTATTTTAATTGTTGCCGTTTGGTGCGAGTAAGTTCTGAGATGATTCGCAAGTCTTGTTTGTCAACTACAGTTGTTCTCAGAATTTCGATCATCTTTTGATGGTTAACACAGTCAAATGCTTTTCAATAGTCAACAAAACATGCATATACATCTACATTCATGTCCCTGCATCGTTGCGTTAACACATTTAGAGTAAAAAAAACCTCTCGTGTTCCCAATCCGTTTCGAAAACCGAATTCCAAACCGTCATTGAATGTCACTCATCTGGAACTCGCACTTCTTGTAAATTCGTGTACGGATAATTCTGAGAAAAGTTTTAAGGACATGGGACATCAAGTTTAATATTCGATAATCATCACATTGTGAGGAATTAGATTTTTTTGGTAATGCTACGAATGTTGGTTTTAGCCAGTCTGTTGGTATTTTACCTGTGTCATATATCTTATTGAATAGTGCTGTTATTAAGTCTAGTCTTTTACTTTCAGTATCTGCAATTAATTTTAGTATTTCGACATTGATATTGTCTGGACCGGTGACTTTTCCATCCTTCTGAGATTTTACTGCGTGAATCAATTCTTCTTTGATTATTTCTGGACCTTTTTCATTTATTCGATTATCTGTGGATGGTGGAGAACAAGGTCTATCGTCGTCAAAAAGTTTATTAGTAGATGTATTTAAATTTTTCTGCCCTGATTTTAACTTGTTCCAAAAGCCGGTCACCAATTTTTTTTGCGCTGTCTGATTCCAGTACTAGTTGACAAGTTTAGATCTCGATCATCTAAGGATAATTGCTAACTTGTGTCGGAACTAGATGAAAATTAATATAAAACAAACTGTGTACTATCTTCGTTACTCTTTAACCTGCGTGGAGAGAAAATATTTAAGGAAGCATTAAAGGAGACAACAGAATGTAGTATTCTGAATGATGTAGGTAATCGTGAACAATATTCGATATACCGACGATACGATAATGCTGGCTAATTGCGGAGAAGACCTACAAAATCTAATGAACAAAATAAACAATATTGTGATCAGTAAGGATTAAAACCGGAACACCGGTTCTGTTTCTCGATCTTTCGGCCAGTTTCTGGCGACGCAGTATCTGTGTTCGATTGTTAGGTTAGGAGATAGTGGGGTAACAGTATAATTAAAATATTTCTTTAATTTTATTAATATCATCATCATCAATCTAAATGCATCCACTGCTGGACTTAGGGCTCCCTCAGCTCTTTCCATCTGTCTCTGCCTTGTGCGGCTTGCATCCAGTTATTGCTAACAAGCTTCAGTTCGTCAGTTTATCTAGTTGGTGAACGTCCTCTGCTCCGTGTTGCTTCTTGCCTTGGTCTCCACTTTAAAATACGTTTTGTCCATCGGTTGTCTGATAATCTGGCGACGTGTCCTACTCAATTCCATTTTAACGACGCGATTTTTTCGATAGCATCTGTTGTTTTTCGTCTACGAATGAGTACAGTACAGTATAGTAAGTGAGTACAGGTAACACACATTAGTCAAAGATTTTTCTTTTGAGGCATATTGGTAGATCCGATTTAAATACATAGTTTAATTAACCAAACGCTGACCAGGTTAATCCTATGCGACGTGGGAGCTCAAATGTCTGGTTATCTCTGCCCAACCGAACTTCATGTCTGTGGTACTTATACGATGTAGTCTGCACAATATCCCTTCAATCAACAGCAATATTTCGATTTAGCACCAGATTAGTCATTATTTGCATCTTGTTCATATTAATCTGTAGTCCGACCTCCAAGGAAGCGTGATATAATTTTCCAAATTATTATTGCATCATTCATACGATCGGCTAATGACTGAGCTCCTCTTCATTTATGTTGATACCATGCTCGTTCAGATATGCCTTCCTACAAGTATGTTCTAAAAGCGTCGTAAATAGCTTTGAAGAGACTGTGTATCCTGGCGGTACTCTTCTCTGTATAAAGAATTTATTTGTTTCTTGTTCAGATAGTATTACGCTAGTTGTGGCATTTTGGTAAATAGATTTGACTGATGGCTTATGGTATCGAATGTTTTCTCGTAGTCGACAAATATCAGTACCAATGGTTTTTTCTATTCTGCAGACTTCTCTATCATGTTCTTCATCACTAGTAAGTGGTCGTTAGTGCTGTATACCGATCTAAATCCAGCTTGTTCTCTCGGCTGACACAAGTCTAATTTAGCATTTACTCTTTTTTTGATAATTTTTATGAAAAGTTTATGTATGTGTGAAAGTTAACTGATAGTATGGTAGTTTTTTAAATCTGTTATGTCTCCTTGCTTGTGTCATAAAGTTATGACTGCATTATTCCCTTGAAAGCTTGGCCAAAGCCTGGATAATTTTATTTCCACCTAGTTTGATCGCTTTGATCACTGCTCCTTCATCGCCAAGAGATTTGTTATTTTTTATTTCTAAGTGTCGTATTTATTCCGTATGGAGTTATTTCTTGAATTAATTCTGATCCTGGTTTGTGATTTAAGACAGGGGCTGATCTTGCCTTTCGTCGGTGCTCTTATTCATTTTGCGATAAAAGGATTCGACGACCTTGAGGATTTTGGTTCTATCAGTAGTTCTGCCCTGATGTTTCCATCTTTGTTTTTTATTTTGACATATTTTTGT